GAAAGATCACAGGTTTGCTCCTGAGTGATGGATTAGATATGACCTAATAGGTATTTGCCATCTCTTATTTCTGGGACTCTGATCCAAGAACAAACAGCAAGAGAACCATGAAAAATCAGCCCTGTTGGATCTGGAGTTCTGCCTTGACAAGATATAAAGCTCATTCATAGATCTGACTGTGCTCATGAGACTGCAGTTCAACTCCTGCTGCTAGAGCAAGAGGAGGGGGAAGGAAGACAGAAAGGGGTGAGTGGGAAGGAGGTGGAAGATCTGGGTTGTGACTATAATAGCTACAGTAATTAGAGTGTTTCCAAGCTGCTGGAGAAGTCTTCAGAGCAGAGAATGCGGAGGGGCCATGGGGGAGGGGGAAAAACAGGAGGAAGCAAACTACTGAGAATGCTAGGAAAATACAGGGTGCTTTGTGAACAGTTTAAAACAAACAAACACCTGTGATGGCTTCATATAGGGAAATAGAGAAGTTTATATTCTTCCCCAGAAGTGAAATTATACAAATAATGGCTAGGCTGCTACTCAAAGCTAGGCTACGAACTAGGTGTAAACAGATTCTTGCAAATGTCCCTGTCTCTGCAGTGGTCCACTGTTTGCCTCCCTTTTCCCCGAATCAATAAAAAAAAATCAATCTATCCATCCATCTATAATATCCAAATCTGTCTCAATCCTTCTAACAAACAGATCTAAGCCTTCACTTCACTTGGAAAAGTGATTTCTGAACTCCAAAAGTTACTATATCTTCTTTCCTGTCAATCAAGCGTTAATTAATACCCTGTGAATTCAATTAGGTTGCATGTGTGTTATGTGTGCGTATGCGTGTGTTTCAAGCACACGGTTTGTTAGCCTAACACAGAAAATGACTGGAGGACACCAGAGAAGTCACAAAATAAACATCAAGATGCTTGTTTATAAATTTTAGGCTCCACAGCACTGCCACTTATAGTGGCATGAACATGTGAAAGAAAAATGAAATCACATTAACAGAAGATGATGATATCCTGGAAGGAAAATCTGGGAATTTGCAGAAAACCTCAAAATAGAAAGTCCTCCTCCAAGTTATAGGAAATGCTACACTTGTTTCTAAGATAAATATTTACTTGAGCTACTTCCTTGACATGATGTAGCCCTCTGGTGATGACTTGATTCTAACAGTGATGTTAAACTCAAAGCCAGAAAAAAAGAGTTATAAAGGTGTTGGGAGAAACTAAAAATGGAATAAAACAAACAACAGAACAGAGGCAAACTTCATGTGGAGAACTACATTCATAAAATAAAAACACATGTGAAAGTCTTGAGTAAGCCATGTCAGGTAGACTTAACACAAAAAGTCAATTACATCCTTTGCACAAAACCTGCTGTGTATCCTCCCAGTGGGCTAAATCTTTTTCACCACACTAAAAGCAAAGAATTTTCTCCTTCCCTATCCCCCTAATAAACAAGCGCTAGAAACACTGAATTACCATTATTTCCTTCCCATTCACAGGGCATAAAGCCAGAATTCACAGAAATACAATAGGACCGTTTAGGACCACGTCTAAGGCATGCTACTCAGTAACCTAAAAGAAATACAGAGAAGGAAGAATCTCTTCTCTTTATTTCATTATTGCCTCACTAACACACCAGCATCAGGCATTAAGAAATGTGAAACAAAGAAGAATTTCACACATATGAACTGAACCTAAACCACAGAAGACCAAGTATTTTCTTGTCACTGTGGCATGTGATTCTTTAACCACCTGCTCAATAATCCCTCTTCAGCTGCACAGCTGCTGCCAATTCCACATGCCCAGCCAGGCAGGTGCTTTGGTGAATTACCTGTTCCCTAATGAAAAGAGCCCTTCACTGACTCTTACTGGGCCCAGAACATGCCAATCAACATTGCCTATCTTCATTTTGTCTGTCACAGCCAACTTTTATGAGATATCACAAAGGTATATTTAGTCACTATGTGATTTTGTATTTTGCAAGTTTTTTTTTTTTTTTAAGGAAACTGATTTTTTAAAATCAGGCAGAAGTGAGAATTCAGCTGCTTAAAAGAAAATTTGCCACACAACATAAGGCTGCCTCATCTCAGAGTGGTCCCATCTGTCTGGCAGTATTCCCATTCACGACCAGTTTCCACAAGGGAAATAACAATTGCTTAGGTACCTATGAGCAGGAGAAAGTGGCACTAGAAGATTCTATTGTACCTGGCAGTAATGAGAGAGAAAGCAGAGAACTTCTGGAGACCACACATCATTCCTGTACTTGTTAGGTCTCCACCGCTGAGCCCAGGCAGCGGTATTCTGAGTCAAATAAGTAAGGAGTGGCACTTCCACTTGACGGAGCAATCAGTAAACCCCTCAACAAATTATCCTGTTCCAGTCATTTAGCTGCTATATGCTAATTGCAACATAATTACTACCAGAAGCCAAAATTATGCTTCCATATCCTCACACAAAATAAGCACTAATCTGTCCAGCTATCTAAACCTCTCACAAGGAAACATTTTCTAACAAGAAGCTGGGGGGAAAAAAATCCAAAGTGTTCTCTGAAACATGGTCACAATCAGAAGGCTTGTAAGTTTCCTTGTGGCAAGGGCCCAATTCTGAAACCACTAAATCTAATCAGGGCAAATTTAATCTGAGGCTTCTGCCTTCACTGTCACCTGACAGGATTCAGAAATGAAAGTCAACAGCCCAAGAGCAAAAAGTTTTGGACTCAGTTTAGCTGACTTCACTCAGGGACCTAGGACACACAGTTGGAAACCGTCTAAAGACATACAACACCTCTAGCAAGACCTTAGACACTTCTGTCACCAAGAAATATAAAGGTCAGAACAACCTGTTCCCTCCTAACAAAGCCTAACACCTAAGTGGCAAGCCGTCATTTTCAAGAAACTCATTGAAATAAAGAGAAAAGGGAGGCAACGTGGTCAAACTGAGGGCCTCAGAAAGACCCCTACCACAACCAAAGGCTCAAGTTCCTCTTCAATGACACCCTATAAGAATTGCTGGCTACTGTGTACAGTTTATATTGTGTACAACTGTCCTCTCACAATGACACAATGACAATTGATTTCTAATCTCTTTTCAAAGAAAAGTTTTCTTTAATGTCCTAAAGGGAAACCTCATCTCTAGTCCCTAATAATTGTTTACCCAACTAACAGTACTGAAGTACCCAACTAATGGTACTATATGGGCATTTCTATGAGGTAAATACAAGGATGGGGTTTCTTATAGCTTGTTCTCAACCTTCTCTCATTAATAACTCCTAAGATCTCAATTTTTTTTATGTTACTCTGGCAAATTTCTCCCTAACACAGACACACATATGGATTTTCTGCACAATGAGCAAGTCACATCCTTTCATCAGAATTAAAGATAAAAAGGAAAGTTATTTTGGTTCCCCCAGCTCTTGCCCAGATAGGCAAATTCTGTGGGGGTTTTTGTTGTGCAATTATTCTAACCAGGAAGTCCCCATTAAAAAGGTACTTGATCCGTGACTCCCTATCTTAACCCTGCACAGGTTTTTAGTGGTATTCCTAAACAAATAAACAAACATTTTTGTAGGAGTGTCCCATCTCTATAAAAAGGATTAAATTGGCTGGCTTGAACCAGCTTAGAGAGTCTTTTTCCTTAGAAGTCTGACACAAATCTCAGGATTGAGTCTCCCAGCCACTATTTCTCCTCAACTTAGTACAGGCTAGCCAAAGAGGCAGGAACAACATGGCTGGCATTCCCTATTCTTCTGAAAAATGTGTGCCAATGAGCTCTGCATTGTTCCTCACTCAAAAAGAAGAGCCTTTCTGTCTGGCCTCCTCCAATGGCAAGCCCCAGTCTGGAAAAGGAAGAAAATGGCACTGAGGAGCCTGGGAGATGGAGCCTATCCAAAGCTCTCAGACAAGACTTGAACCTATGACCTTCACTGTGTACACAATAGGCGGGTGAGAGGGACCGGTTTATCTCTGCAGCAGCAGTTCTCAGCCCTGGGGTAGCTCTCCCGATAAAATGACACGACTATTGTGTGTGGCAGCAAAACAGTCATCTCCTCACAACAGCCTAAACCAGCACTCCCTCCCCCAAGACAAAGCAGCAGGGGTGAAATTAACTCAGGGCTGCAGAGCAAAGCCTCAAAGAGAAAAGAGAGGCCTGTGGGGGGACTGGGGGCGCTCCTCAACCCCTGGGGCTCTGGACACACGGCTGGAAACAGACAGGCTTTCTCCCCCATCTTTCCCACTCTCATTTAGATAGGAAGCTGTTTCTTAGAGAATTTAATCATCTGTGATTTGTTCAGAAATATTCCCCCTGAAGGGCTCTGATCTCTCCACCCTGTGTGAGCCCAATTCCTAGAAGCTGAAATGACTGTTTGCTGCTGCCTGTTTCACAAACACACATTAATTGGTCAGATGTGTCTCCTCCTCCTCAACCCCAGAGGGAGGAAGGAGAATCTGAGCAAAGCACAGAGATGATCCAACCGTAATTACACATAAAGGGAAAAGAGGGCAGCACGGGTTTTCCAAACAGGACAGGGTCACAAACCCTCCCGGGGGCACTAGGAGAGCAGTTAAGGCCAGGCCCAGGAATCCCTCCATCTTGAAGAAAAGGACAGGAGGAAATGTGACCTGAAGCCTGGAAGGAGCACACACCCACAGCCTACTTAATGCACTCTCCCAGCCACCTTGCTCCCCCCTCCTGGGCCACGCGCACGTCCTGCTCCCAGCCCTTCGCCCTGAACCCCCCTAACTCCCTCACTAGCTCCAGTCGACCCGGGCCCCCTCAAGATACCCAGACTCGCCTCGGGAACTCTCTGGCCTGTCCCCACAACCTGGCCAGACCCTAATCCCCTCTCGAGCACCCCTACCCTCAGCCTGAACCAGCCCCGGCCACGCTTTGAACTTCACCCTGCGCCCCTCGACGCCCCCTCCCCCAACCAGGCAACGACCCCCCCCCCCGCCCTACACACCTTCTCCTCGCTCCTCCCCGGCCCCCCAACCCCCACTTCCTCCGTCAGGCGCCGCTATCCCCGGCCCCCTGAGCGCCGCCGCCTCTCTCCTCCCCCAGCCCCGGCTCCACACAAAGCTCCGGACTCACCGCGCGGCCGGTCCCGGGAGCCGCCACCTCCGCCCGCCTGGGCCCCGGGCCGTAGAGCCGCTGCTGCTACGGGGCCCAGGCCGCCATCCGTTCCCGCGGCCCCTCCCCCCCTCCCCACCCCGCCTCGGCTCCGGCTCTCCGCCCCCTCCTCGCGCCGCTCCGCCCCGCCCGCCGGTGCCGCTGTGTCCGGGGCCGCGGGTCCCTCAGCCGCCGCCACCGCCGCCGCCGCCGCCGCCGCCGCCGCGATCCGGGACAACCAGGGCCGCCCAGAAGACCCGGACACTGGACTACCGGGCCCTCGGATCCGGATCCTTGTGCCGTCTGGAGCCGTAGAGCGCAGAGGAAACCCGGAACCTGGATGGAGGAGCCAAATCCTGGGTCTCGGAACGCGCGGTCACACGGAGCCCGGATTAGAGACTCGGAGCCCGGGTTAGAGACTCGGAGCTCTGGGAATTCTGGAAAACCCGGCAAGCCGGTTAAAACAGAGATAAACTCGAAGAAGCGTGGATTGGAGAGCTCGAACCTAACGCTCTCTCCTCGTGGAAAGAACTCTCGCTGGACCAGACTTCCTCGCAGAGAGGTCTCTGGGGAAGTATCGTACCTTAAAATACGGAAGACACCAGTTCTGTAGGTGTCTAACCATTGGGAGAGCAAAGGGTCGTAAAGGGTCTGTCTGAACGTGAACATCACAAAGAACCGAAGAGCCAGCACAGCTCATCGTGGTTTCATCCACTTTATCTCTTGGTTCAGCAAAGTAGCAACCCCTAATTTATCCTTTGTTCTCCAATTTCTTGTTTAGGATTACCACAAGTTTTCCTCTTCAAAGCACCCATTTCTAATCCTTCTAATATCACCTTTCACCTTGCCACCCCGTTATCACCACATCTTGGTTTTTATTATCTCTAAGTCCTACTTTGTCCTTTTCCAAAACACCATTCTATTTCTAACGACTTTAGCTTTTATCTGCCATTCGTCTGATTGCCCAGCACACTTCCTAGTAGGCATTCAGCTCTCTTTAAGTGAACCCTCCCACCTACCTCTCACTCAGGAAACTCATACTCTTCACCTCTTCCCTAAAACGTCCACTCCCTTTTGTAGCAAGAAGAAACTTATCTCAATTCTCAAGTCTTAGCCTCAATTATGTCCTTCCTGTGTACTTCCCATCTTAGTCAGCTCTGCGGTTTTGTTTGGTTGCACTCTCCAGCACTTGGAATCTTACTTCCCCGAGAAGTGATCAAATCCGTGTCCCCTGTGGTGGAAGCTTGAAGTCCTAACCATTGGACCCCAGGAAGTCCCAGCTCTGCAGTTTTTATCTTTCCCTTACCCTGAGGCATCCATCAACAGTACCACTCTAGATAGCATGTGATTTGGGGATAAAGGCAGATCATAAAACCCCTTTGCTCTCCATTTCCACATATGCATGCAAAAAGTGTATGTGTGTGTGTCAGGGGGTAATGCCTAAAGATGAACACTAAGCTGCTCTGGCCTAGGAAAAATAATCTCCCCTTGATCCACCCATATTCAGCTTGTTCTAGGACAGTACAAGAACAAAACTGACCCCAGGTGATGCTGTTACAAGTGAGGATTCAGCTACTTGCATGTAGACAAAGAGAAGGGTTAGATTTGAGACAGGTATGACTTAAGAGTTAACACTAAAGTGGCATCTCCTTCTGAAGAGCACGACTCTACCACCGGAAAACACTGAATTGCAAAAATGGGAAACAAAGGAAAGCAAACATTCCTACAGTGAATTTTTAGAGAAATTTCTCAAGCTTAGAAGTATCATTAAAAATTTTCAAGCAATTGAGGTCCTATACAGTAAAAGAATCTTCAGTTTTGACTCCTTGTTCCTTTAGACCAGGGTTTGACAAAATAAGGCCCACAGGTCAAATCTGGGGCAATACCTGTTTTGGTATGTCCCATAAATTAAGAATGGTTTTTACATTTCTAGATGGCTGAAAAATAACCAGAAGACTATTTTGTGACGTGAAAATTATATTAATATGTTATTCAAATTTCAGTGTTCATAAATAAAGTTTTAGCGGGCTCATAAGCCATGCTCATTCACCTATGTATTATCTATGGATTCATTTAACTTGCACTGTAATAGCAAAATTGAATAGTTGTAACAAGGACTGTATAACCTGGGAAGCCTAAAATACTTGCTGCCTGGCCCTTTACAGAGAAAGTGTGCTGACCTCTACTCCAAACAAGGACTATCTAATAGAACTTTTGGCAATGATGGAATTATTCTATACTTGTGCTGCCCAATTCAGAAGTCATTAGCTACATGTAGCTATGTGAACACTTGAAATATGGTACTGTGACTGAAGAACTGAATTCTTAATTTCACTTAAATAATGACATGTAGCTATTATATTAGACAGTACAGCTCGAGATGCTTCTTAGATCTTCCGTACTGACATTTTTTACCCCTTGATCCAACATCTCACTCCCTTCTTGTGACACATCTACACATTCTCAGTCACCATCTCCACCTCACCTATCTACCGGACTCCGAGTCAAGGTACAATATTTACTAGGTTTTTGTCCTAGACTCTGCATTGTCACAACAGAAATCTGATCAGTCTATGACGTTTCACCCCATGAATTAATCCACATTATGTGTACAAACATAAATGGACGCACATTTACACAAGGTTCTTTGTGTGAGAGGGTGGCACTGTGGCCATGTTCTTTATTCTCTGCCTGAAAGAAGTAGAAAGCCCTCCACATGCTAGATCCCTTGATGCTGCTGGAGCCTGTGATATGGATCACCTCCCTCCAAACACATTCACAGAAGCTGACAACAGCAGATGTGCACTTGCTATTTGAATCTCAAGGGAAAAAAAAAAACCTTCACCACAGGACTTTCTTTCCTCCCCCCAGGCCTAATAAACTGAAGTTAGCTGATTTCTCTAGTTTAATAGATACTTGCTTTTTTACTGGCCTTTTCTAACTGGGCAAGAGAACAACCCCAATACTGTCTCAGTCTTGGCTAGGAGCTCTAGCAAAGGCATTAAAAAAAAACACACACACAAAAAAACTTACCAAAGGAACCAAATGAAATGAAATCCACATAAACGGACTTTAGTAGAGACAGTAGTTAAAATGGAAAGAGATTAGGGGTTATAACTCATAAAAAGCCCTAACTTTATAATTATTTATAAAAGCGATCTTTAAAGTCTGAAATTTTTACACCTACTCCCTAAGGAAAAAATGGGCTTCTGTAAACTTCCGGCTTTAAAAAAAAAGAAGGGAGGACACCTAGTTTTCTTTTTCCATATTAGCTATAGCAAGCAAACCACCCCCCCCACCAACCCCACCCCTCACTCCATTCTAAACATCTGTCTGCATGGCCAAAGCCTTCTAAATCCTGACAGAGCAAAGTCTCCAGTTTTATATATATCCTACTTTGAGCTTATATAATTGAGACTGTGTCCTGCCTAGAAAAACAAAAACAAAAAAGCTGAATCCTTTAGCAACTGTACAAACTGACAGCCATTGAACCCAACCATCCAAGAGAGTAAGATCTTTAACCTGTAGAAGAAAACCAGCTCAGAAATGTGGACCTTCCCTCAGGCCAAGCTGTTCCAGAGTAACAGGGTCAGTGCAAAGTGTTGTAAAGTACGGACAGGCTATTCCTGGGCGAGTTTGTACTCGGGCTGCTAAGAATTTCCACCAGACTTTAAATTATGCTATTCATCACTGAGCAACTGAGGGCCATCTACCCCAAGTCTCTCCCACACTTCCTCCCGGGTGTCTCCACAAATAAAAGAGAGATCTTTTACCACTACCATGTGAACTGAAGGGAGGCTTTCACAGGCTGACCATGAAAAGGAGAAGTTTCCAAGTTACTCTGCCGTTTACTCATGTGGCTCCAGCTGCGTATTCTGGATGCCGAGGTTGGGTTCTCATAAACTTGTGAAGTTCTTGTAAACTTTCTTATCACAGCACACAAAATGGTTGCATAACCTGAACTCTTGCATCTCCTGATGTTTTTCTTTAGGCATGCACACACAATCTATCCAGGTGGAAAAAATCAAGCAATACTCCTCTGTGTTCAGGCTGTCATTCAAATAAAAAGGCATAAAGAGAAACTTTATTTTTGCTCCCTGGCTCTTCACTTCCTGCCTTTCAATTTTATTTTGGTATTAAAACAAACAAACAAACAAACAAAAAACCAGACAATTCCAGCACAGAATTCAAGTTGTTACTGCTTGGTAAACTAGTAACTGCATAGTGAACCTGGTGTGGCTTTATTAATGGTACTAGGGTTGGTAGAAGGCCAGAGAGAGGCTTTTTTCCCTCTAAAAAAAGTGCCATTAGTGTCCTTTCCACTTTCTCTACACAAGTTGAACAGAAAAAAAAAAGAATACAGCATGTCTGCATCACCAGAACAAGAATCTGGTGGGTTTTCCCTGGGAATCCAGGGTGATCAGTCCCCCACAAAACCAATGCCCAGAGCCATGCAACAAGAAGGGTTCACAGTTGAGTGAACATCAATGCATAAGTGGAGGAATTTCAATGCAAATAAATGCTGAATATGAAGGATTAAAGAAAGGGGAAATTAATCTTTTTCATAACACAGGGCACTTTTTTTTCTCTCCCTTGTGCTCTCTTTTTTAAGTCATGCACACAACTGCTGGAGGGAATCCAACTTCCCCAGTGTGGTAGTGCTGCTTTATAAAAAGCAGAACATACACATTTAAGACCATGAATTTCCTGAGGATGCCAGCAACTGAGATTCTGACAGCTCTTCTGAACAGCCTCAGAAAAAAAAAAAAAAGTACTTCACTAAGTGGGACCAGAATGACTAGTAAAAAGTCTCATTTCAAACCAACCTAGTTTTTCAAAACTCATAGCTTTCTGGGGTGTGGATGCCTTAAAGGGTTTGGTTTCAGCATTTTGGGGTTATCTAGATGCATTTACAGAACGGATTTTATTTTTGTTTGTTTCTAACTGCTCCATCCAAATGATACTCTTGCAATACCAACAAAATAAATAGCGCCATTTCATGCTGCTTTAGCGGGTGGCTCCATCTCATCCCAGCTTGATCCTCTCATGTCCTAATGTCTCAAACCAAAGAACAAAGTGGCAGTGCCTCTTCAGGTTATACCCCCACCCCAGCCCCACCCGCTCCCCCCAAAACCTGCCAATGAAGTGTACTCAGTTTTTGAAAACTATTCACTTGAGATGCTGGATTACAGCAGCAAACCTGTTACGTCTGGAGACTTTTTTTCCCATCACTTGTCTGTATTAAACACAGAATTCCTCAAACATCCTAACACCCCACCAAGCTATCACTTTGGGGGGGAAAAAACTTTAAAATTCAAGTGGTTGCTTAAAATATTGTTAACCTAGGTTAAGAATTTACCTAACTAAAATAAATCCAAGCCTCAGGGAGGGTTATTTCCACCTTGGTCCATTTTCTTCTGTATCATTCTAAGAAAAATGTCAAAGACTGAGGATTTTTAAAATAAGTTTTTATAAATAATGTATCCAAAGATTTTTGACCCACTACATACAGTAAGAATCTCGTTAAGAAAAATATACAGATTTTGATAAGAGTTTAAATTCTGAGAGAGAGTTTAAACCCTGATGCCAAGTCCTTCATTTGTTACTGCTTCAATTTCAAAAGACCAGTGGACAGCAATTTTAGTACACAGAACTCCACTATGCTGTAGAGTTCCTTTTTTCCTGGGTCAGCCAGCTTTATTCTGCTTCATTAACCCTTTCTTTGCTCCTTGATGGATTTTGGAATCCAGTTTCCCTGTAAGGGAGAAAAAGAAGCCTCGTTATTTATTTTTTTATATTTGCAATGCAAATCTTTCATGGTCTCTCAGGTCTTCTGGTTACTGTGTTCCTGTCACATTCAATTATCTTGCTCCAGGACTCAGACACTTTCAAACTTCAGAGTTTTCATTCTGTAAGAATGAGGAAGCAGTGGGAACACGGTACAGGGACCCTCAAATGTCTGCACACAAACACAATGAGCATTCACAGCAAGAATCCAAGGAGTTAATATTTCTAATTTTGTAGTTTCTTAAAAAAACAAAAAACAAAAAAACACGTTTTCTGGAGTGTCTGATACTAAGGCAAGTTTTTAAAGAATACAAACATAATGATAAAGGAAGACATTTCACACAGTGGGAAATTCATTCCTCTGACCTGTTAACTGGCTGAGCATAATGCATGAATCTCCCTCACAGTGAGAAAAGCAATTCAATTCACTCCTTTGCTGCCTCAGACTTAATAGGGGGAGTGACTTGAAACAGTGAGGTAGAATCCACATGAATGCTTTTCTGACAAAGGGGCCCTATCACCAGCTAAGAAGGGCAAAGGTCATGGGTTGTATGACTCGTCTAAGTGTTAAAGTTAGAAAACAAGCAACCTTCCTGTCCCAGGTGACCCTAATGAGAGGTATTCCACTGATGTGGTCTCCGACCTCTGACTTCTCAGATCTACCAGGATAAAGGTCAGTTCAGTGGTAGCCGCCTTAAGAAATATCCATCTCAGGAAGAATTTAACAGAGCTCCTGTCTGTCTGGCCTAGAACAGAGCTGGCAGGTGGCTTTCTCCCACAGAAAGTCTTATTTAAGTCAACAGAGATGCTGATGCTGGGAAGAGAAACAGTTCAGTTCAGCCTTGGCAGTAAATAAACAAACAAACAGCAAAACAAAAGCAGCTGGGTATACTACAGTCCTATACCCACAACCCCGGCCCCTTGGACTCTGTCATTTTCATTTGCCGCAGTAATCAGGTTCGAGAGAGGAAGCACTGGACGAGAAGTCAAGAGACCCAGGTTCTAGTCCTCCTTTGTCTGATACAAACCAGTCATCTGATCTGTCTGGACTTCAGTATCCTCATTTGTCCAACCAAGATAAGAATTCATGTCCTGACTACTGCACAAAGACAGTGTGAAAAAAAATTACCTAAATCTAACAAGTTTCCTCCCTGTTTTCTTAATTTTTCTCTTCTTCCTCATCTCTCCAGGGCTACACCTGCCTTTGGAATAATATTACTTCCTTTTCTGGGCTTCCTTAGAAACCATCATTTAGTGAGACCCTAAATGATGTCCACAACAGTCACAATTATGCTGATTTTAATTTGGGCTTTAGAAACAGAGAGTATTCCCAGGGACTGAGGAGTTCTTTCATCCCCCAGGCTGCCTTGCTGGAAATCCAAACATGTGCCAGCAATCTGGCAAAAAGCCCTGTTACGAGGCAAATTTGCCTTTGTATCCCTAAGACTACCATAGTGACCACCAAATGGTAGGTGCTCAATAAATGAATTAAAGAAAGCAGGCACTGCAAATTTCAGAACCTTTACTGTAAAGGTTTGGGAACTACTAAGTAACCAAAAATAGCAGATATCAGATAAACATAAGAGAGTACTCACTGTAAAGGTGGTGGTACCCAGAGGTACGAAGAAGTACTGCTTCTCATTAAGCTTTTCAGAACAAGTTAGGACAGAATTTAGAATTCCATTTAGGACTCCAGACTTCTAGTTCTCTGCACTGAGTAATTAAAAGATGCAGGTCCCAGTTTTAGTCCTAAGACTACCTATCTGTATAACCTTGAGAAAGTCACCTAGTCACTCTTGTCCTCAACTTTTTCAGTACTTCGAGGAAACTGGACTACACAGTACTGAAGGTCCTTTGCAGCTCTATGATACTTTGGCCTAAAAATGAAATGTAAATGGGAATACTTTGTTTCTGAGGCAATGTGATAAAAGTGAGAAAAGCAGCAAATCTAGCGGTAGAAAGACCTGAGTAAAATACAACTTCTGTAAACCTGTTCACTCAACTATAAAATGAAAGGAAGAAAAAATTTCTACTAACTTAAAAGTTGTTGAGAGGATTACAGACAATACTAAGTGCTTTTCTGTATACAAAGCACTATACCATTTATTTTATATACACTAAAGCATTTAATCAAGCAATTAATTGAAATAAAATACATGTAAGGGCTTCATAAGTTCAGAGGTCTCTGAAAAATTAACAGTAGTCATATATTTATGCTAAGGCTTGGGAGTCATGTTTCGTAGTTATGATCTCAGTTGTACTTTTAATTTACCATATTTACCAGCAACCCTAGGCAAGACTTTTAACTATTTATTTCAGGCTCCTCATATTAAAAAAAGAGAGACATTACCTTCCTCACATTCTCAAGGCTTTCCTATATAAGAATATCCCAAATATTGTTTTCATAAAACTCCAGTCTGATTGTGAAAGCCCTCAAGTGAGACCAGCTCAGATAACACCAACCCACCGGAGGAAAGCACTCAATGGCAGGCAAACTAATCTCTGGCTTCAGTGATGATGTCATAAAATGGAAAACTGATATGAGAAAGGAGATAGAAAGGAAGAAGGATTTCCAGGGCACTCCAAGGGATTCAGAAGTGTTTCATCCCCTTTTCATCCCCTAGGCTAACCTAAGAAAACCATACATGTGCCAGCAATCTGTGAGCTCCTTACAACTGAAAACTTCTTTGCATTCCTAACATAGTGACTGCCAATAGTGGCAATCCTTAGGTCAGGTGGGCAATGAAGGCCAGGACCTGGGGTTCCTTGCATGGAGAAGCAGTTATTGTGGATGCCCTCTGAACTCCGAGTTCTAGGTTAGCCTGTTTTTTTTTAAGATTTGGGATCTGGACAGTTAACTACAGTAATATACAGTACACTCCCTTAAAAGCAGAGTGATGATGCTTAGTTTCTGTATTTCCCTAATATTTTTACATTTAGTACGCACAGCATTTCAGTGTTAAACCACATCCTCAATCATGGTGCCTAAAAGAAAATCAAATGCATATGCAGCAGATGGGGGAGAAGTTAAAAGGGAAAAAACTATTTGCCATCAATCGATAGAACTCTCATAGGAATTTTCATAAGCTTTGCATAAGATATAAGGCAGAATTTGCATGAATTTATAAAGCATGTAGTTCATTTAAAGTAAAAATTTCCTTCATCTCTTTGAGCATTCAACCTACAAAGTCTACTGTACTTAACTGTTTTGCATTTCTTAATTTGAGCAGACACATAACCAAGTGATTTCATATTGTACACCAATTTGTGAATTATTTTAACTTCAAGAAGCACAATTATCCTCAGGTCAAGCAAGCTCAAGTTTACATGTCCAAATAAATAAATAAAAATATATGCTTTTAATTTAAACCATACACATATACACAGACACACGATATAACATGTAAATGAGTAATATTGTAGAAGTTTATTTGCAAATCAGAAGTTTGCAACTTAGGATAAATTTCTCATAGAACTAATCTATGAAGAGTGGCTAAATTCCTAAGCCATGCTACAAGAAAAAATATTTAGGCACAGAATTGTAACTAGACTACTAATATTATTAATACCATGGAACTTAACCACTTCATGTAACAGTATTCTAAGAAGAAAATGTGAAGCATTCCAAATTAAGAGCCAAGCATGTATTTTTCCCTATTGCAGTGGGACTAAGAACTTCTCCAGCTGTGAACTGGAGGTGGGCCTCTATGGCCTAAGGGAAGGAAGTTCTGACAGAGTGTTAAGGTTTTTACAGATAGTAAAGATGAATGAAGGATCAAGGAATGAAGAGTTGGAGGGAATGAAAACTTTACACCAGACTAAATCCTCCGTCTGGCTCCCTCTCAACAGAAAACTTTTTTCTGAAACACAGGGATTGGTCATTCTATTCTTGCCCCGCACCCCACTCACCCCCTTTACCTATTGTTTCTGACCCATGTTTTACTTTGCCTGGTCTACCATGGGAAAAGCTGCAGTCTCAGTTTTTTCCAGCCCTGCTGTCCCTGAAGCACACAGCCCATTTTGGCTTTTTAAAAGCTCTTAACCAACAGAAGCAACAGGGAAAAGCTTTCTCTTAAGATCACCACTCACTCCTCCCCCTATTAAACCTTGTGGATAAAAACCAAGGTCATATATGTGCTGAAGGTGAGTCTCTGAGATGAGAAAGTGCTGAAGTAAAACATTTCAGAGAAATATATAAACTCTGTTTACACAGAACATTTTCTCACAAGAGTTTAAGCGGCAGATGAGAACCAAGATAGGGAGGAAGCTCTGAAAAGGTAACTGGAGCTAAAGATCAAATAGCAGTGGGTCTGGGAGAGAAGCCTGACTACCAGTGTTGCCCTCAGGGCCTAAGGGAAGACCAGAGTAGGAAGGGGTATAATTTCACAACTTAAAAAGGAGAAAAAAAGGAAGATTTAAATCCTAAATAGTTAAGAAGAAGGAAAAAGAATTTCCAGGGCCACTTGGCTAACAGTTCAGGTAAAGTATGAAGTAAATAATTGTGTAAGTCAAGGGCAACTTATGTTCAGATTTTCTGACTAGCAGGAAATCTCAAGAATATATTTCATAAATCATCCGAGTTGCCTGAATTTTGCACTGAATATACATTCACCTAAATTCATACTCCAAGCATTTCATTTTGTGCCCAAAAGCAGTATTATCCATTGTATAGTCAGCTAACCAAGAGCATTACTATTACCTGAGAGAGGGCCCAGGAATCTGTGTTTTAACAGCTCTGCAGGTGATTTTTATTTACACTACCCTCTGAGAATTACTTCTCCATAGAATAGATTTATAAATGGTTTGTCCCCAGGCACAAAGTTTTTCCAGTAGTCATGTATGGATGTGAGAGTTGGACTATAAAGAAAGCTGAGTGCCGAAGAATTGATGCTTTCGAACTGTGGTGTTAGAGAAGACTCTTGAGAGTCCCTTGGACTGCAAGGAGACCCAACTAGTCAGTCCATCCTAAAAGAGATCAGTCCTGGGTATTCATTGGAAGGACTGATGTTGAAGCTGAAACTTCAATATTTTGGCCACCTGATGGGAAGAGCTGACTCATTTGAAAAGACCCTGATATTGGGAAAGACTGAAGGCAGGAGGAGAAGGGGATGGTAGAGGATGAGATGGTTGGATGGCATCACCGACTCAATGGACATGAGTTTGGGTAAACTCCGGGAGTTGGTGATGGACAGGGAGGCCTGGTGTGCTGTGGTTCATGGGGTCGCAAAGAGTTGGACACGACTGAGCGACTGAAATGAACTGAGGCACAAGGTGAGGTAGCCCTGTGCACAGCTGACAATAATGCATGCCCTGGGAGCATCCAATTCACACAATGGGAAAGCAATGTCACAAAGGACAGAACAATAACTGACATAAGCAAGCAAATGCGAGAGCTGTTCATGTGTTTAAAAGTAAGTAAGAGAGAGAGGACACCACTCTGTGTTTCTTGAGATTGCCTGGAGATAGAAGAACCTGCTGTATGACTAAACAGAGAAGTTGGGAGTTGAAGATGGGGTAGAAGTGGAAAGAATAAAATCAAAAGCACTTCCTAAAATGTGAACATGCAGAGGGTACTACAGTCACAAACACATAAAAGCAAACATTACAGAAAAGAAAACCATCAAGAGGTTTCAAAAAGAGGATGAAAAGCAAGAGAGCTAGAGCAGACCTCTGGGACCAGCAATCAAAGCAATAGTGGGAAGTGGTACCTCCAAAAAGTTAAGTCTTATTCTTGAATTGAATACTGAGGAACAACGGATAAGAACAGTACAATGGGGCAAATGTACTCTTTTTGGCTTACAAATAGTATTTTAAAGGTAATGCGGTCCCAACTGGAAGTTTAGAGTGATTCACTCATATACCAATAATTGTGGATCAAGGTATGATTCAGAAAGGCTATACTGTAGTTAACCTAACCTTAACGTTATTGATAAAAAGAAGTTTTTAATTAATGGTAACTTTAATATTAAACAGTTGATTAACAATGTTGTGTTAGTTTCAGGAATATGATGAATAGAATTTTTCTAATCCTTCAAGTATTTGAGATGATATGGAACAGGATAAAAAGAGAAAAAAATTTTAAGTTAAACAAGTAATTCAAGGTAAAAAGAAAAAAAATAGACCATCGACACTTGTGACTTACAGATTTTTGGATTTCCTTTAATAGGAAACTTCACAATCATTTCCTGGGGATTTGTGCAGATGAAAACAAATGGAGAATCAGATTCTTCTTGACTCATGTCTGGATACTGCAAAATATAAAAATAAAAAGTTCATGCTAGTTGGGACAAACTTTGAATTTCAAGGAGATCAAAGGATGTCCCAGAATCCACCTCAACATTCTGATGGTAGTACTCTCCATTACATAGCCAGGTAAAGACAATAATGCTCAATAAGCAAGAACAAACCTTCCACTTTCCCCCAAGCTTTAGCACAGTATTCTTATACAGTCTTTTGCCCACCATTTGTGACTTCCTATAATGGAAACAACTTCTTAAAAAAAGATGTTTGACATCTTTCCAGAGAATCAAAACTGACTAATCTTTCAATATAAGCAACTGTGAGTTGGGAGATTCAGCGGTCTCCTTTAGGAACATCAGGCACCCACCTCCAGATTCAGCTCAAGTGAAATGCTGGAAGGTTTAAGAAAAATAGAACATTTGTGGAAATTCTGCCAGAAACCATCAACAGGGCACTTCTCTCACTAAAGGGAAGGAAGATGATTCATTCTGAAAGGTATGAACATGCCAAAGTTGTTTTGCTGGATGCATTCCAGACTCACTTAGGGTGAAAAGGTAACGGTACAGCAATTCTGAAAACAATTTAGAAGCCTCCTTTGGATCTCCTATCACAAAATGAATCTGTGTGAATACTTAGGACTTTTATTTCTTCTGCAAAGACAGACACAGAACCTAGAGTAAGAATATCTGGCCACACAATCACAACTTAAAGAACAAGTGGGTGTTGGCAGAAAAGTGCTCTCCAGCAATGTGCAACTGACTTGGTATTTCAACATTTCCTATCTTGGGATGTCTTGTGTTTAGTATGTTCGATAAATATGACTCTAAAGCCGACTATAGCCATGGGTCAGACTTCAATACCAAAGCAGCCTTTCTCCTAGTAATGAGAAAGTGTGAAATTATTTTCCACTCTTATTTACCTGCTAAGATGTATCCTGTAAAGATCTAAGGCTCTAGAGTAAAAATGGAGGTTTCAGTGAAATAAGGAAGAAAATTCAAATGTCGGGACTTCCCTGGTGGTCCAGTGGTTAAGAATCCACCTGCTTATGCAGGGGACACAAGTTCAATTCCTGGGAAGATTTCACATGTTGTGAGGCAACTAAGCCATTGAGCCACAATTACTGAGACCGTGTACCTTAGAGTCTATGCGCTGCAACGAGAAGTGACCATGAAGTGAAGCCCATGCAAGGCAACTAGAGAGTAGCCCCCACTCGCTGCAACTAGAGAAAATCCTCACACAGCAACCAAGGCCCAGAGCAGTCAATAAATACATAAAATGCATTTTAAAAAAATGAAGATGGAAGGAGAAACTTTCTTTTTTCCTCACCCTTTGGATCTTTAGAAGTCAAAGAAAAGTGGGGCCCAGCTGTTATTGTTGAGGTGCTTTGGCACAAATAAAACCAGAGGCTGGCATCAAGATCTTTAGACCTAATTCTACAGAGGCCAAAGTAGCAACAGTCACAATTCATATCTCTTCGATTTTCCTGCTCTCTCTTCTCTGTGTCTCAGAGAGTGCTGAGGCAGAGGACAAACCTGCCAGGACTTTACAGCTCTGCTTTTCCAAAACGACAAGCCATTTCACTCCTCTTTCTTCTGCATCAATAAATGTTCCCTCTCTACTGGATCAATCCCATTAACAAACACACTTTCTATAATGTCTGTCATAAAACAAAAGCTCCCCCGATCCCACATTCTCCTTCTGCTACTGCCCCATTTTCAGGTTCCCTTCACAACAAAATTCATTAAAAGATTATCTATACACTTTGCCTCAAATTCCTCTATTTTTTCTTGAAGTCATTATAAAGAGGCTTTTCTTCCATCATTCCACCAGAATGGTTCTTCTGAAGGTCATCTTTCATTTCCATGCTGCCAAATAAATTCTACTTCTAGGTATATACTCAAAAGAATTGAAAGCAGGGATTCAGATATTTGTACACCAATGTTCAAAAGCAGCATTACTCACAATAGTCAGTAGTTTCCACAATCCAAATGTCTAACAATAGACAGATAAACAAAATATGGCAGATACATACAATGAAATACTATTCAGCCTTTAAAAGGAATGGAATTCTGATACATGCTACACCATGAATGAACCTAGAAAAATTATGCTAAGTAAAATAAACCATACACAAAAGAACAAGTATTCTGAGTCTACTTATGTGAGGTGCTTAGAATAGACAAGTTTGGAAGTTCCCTGGCAGTCCAGTGGTTAGGACTTGGTGCTTTCACTGCTAGGGCCCAGGTTCAATCCCTGATCAGGGAACTAAGATCCTGCAAGCTGAGATGCACAGCCAAAAAAAGAGATAAATTCATAGAGAAAGAAAGTACAACAGAGGTTACTAGGCGCTGGCGGGGGGGTGGGGGGCGGGTGGAAGAAAGAGGAATTCCCATTAAGGTACAAAGTTCCTGTCTGAGATGATGAAAAGTTCTAGACATGGATGGCTGCACAACACTGTGAATATACTTAACACCCCTGAATTGTATGCTTAAAAATGGTTAAGTTTATACTATGTATATTTACCACAATAAAAAAAATAAATCAAGGTCCTAGATTTTCTTTCCAAACCTGCTCCTCTCTCATTCATATCCCTTTAAAATAGCTATTCTAATCTTCCCAGTTGTTCGGGTCAAGAACCCCATAACCAACCCTCAGGGAATCCCGTTAACTCTACTTTGGAGAGATACCCAATATCCCACCATTTCTTAAGACCGCCGTTGCTACTCCCCCTGGTCCAGGCCACCACAATGTCTCTCTGGATTACCATGATAACCTCCTAATCGGTCTGTCTATTTTGCCTTTAACCTTCCTCTTGTCTATTCACGTCACAGCAGTCCGAGCTATTTTTTAAACATATTCAATATATCGGATCACGTCACTTCAAAATTTAAAACTCTCCAAAGGCTTTTTGTCTCAGTCAGAATAAAAGTCCTCACTATGACGTACAGGTCCCCACTATGACCAACAGGTCCCCAGACAATCTGGCCCCCACTTCCTTTCTGATGCCTTCTCCCCCACTTTCCTCTCCAGCTATACAGGGTTCCTTGTTCCTGCCTCGGGACATCTATGCTAGCTTACCCCTCTTCCTGGGATGCTTTCCCTGCTCGGTATCTGCCTGGTTTCCTCTATCTTTCTTCAGAACTTTGTTTAAATGTCAACTTCATAGTGGGTCTTCTGGCACTCTTAGCCCCCATCTCTTTATTTTTTCTCTACAGCACTTACCATCATAAATGGCAACCCACTCCAGTATTCTTGCCTGGAAAATCCTATGGACAGAGGGGTCTGGTGGGCTACAGTTCATGGAGTCACAAGAGTTGGACATGACTTAAGTGACTAAACCACCACCAATTCACTTATTTAAACTTTTTAAATTTGGACTTTCCTTACTAGGATAAAAGCTCCAAGAAGGCAAGGATCTTTGTTTTGCTTACTCCTTAGCACCTGGAATCATGCCTGGCACATGATAGGCAATCAATAAATATTTGTTGGATTAAAAAAAACAAAAAAAATAACCAACCTGTGCTTTTAGGTTATCTTAACCATGTTAAATACATACATGCTGGGAACTGGACACTCTTAGGACTAAACTCTGGCTAAAAGCAGGTGCTAGTCTATAATCTGTTATTCCTCAAGCTAAATTAGAACTTTTGTGTCTTGGGAAGTAGCCAGTAAGGCCCTGTGTTTAATAAAAACTACCCTGACATATATTAACAGAGTCAGAAAATGTCAAATAATGGGGAAAATGATGGATAAATGAAGTTATAGAACAAGTGGTTCTCTGGACCCATTCATACCTTCTAATAAAGATAAACACTAAAATTAACTTTCCCAATTGAATCTAAATCCAAGTTTCATGTGAATATTCCTGTTTCCAAGCTCTATTACTAAACTTCGGGAGGCTTACAAGAAACAGAGCTGAAGAGCAAAGAAGCCTACAGGAATAAAGAAAAGTAAGGCCTATGTGTTGGGAGAAGGGATTATTTTTTATGGTAAAATGCATTAAAGCAAAGGCAGCTTGGCAGAACCTGCACCTGCAGAAATGTATAATCTATGAAACTGGGTCTCGGACACTAAGAGACCACATTAAATACCAAAAAGTCAGAGACTTGCAAGGAAGAGGGTTTTGGTTTGAGAGTCAAAAGACTAAAATGCAGCTGACCTAGAGAAAATTAAGAAAAAGAAGGTTCATATTTGTGAAGAATGTAAATAAACTCTCAATGTCATATCCAATTTAGAGAGTATATTAGATTAAGGGCCATTGAGATAGTGCAATAGACAGGATAGGGAATGAGGGTTATAAGACCAAGCAATTCAAAGCACCCATTTACATTCAGTAACAGACTCCTCAGGATGCTACTGCTGTTCCTGCCTTCACCAACATGACTCCTATCACCTGGTTTCCAGCCTGAGGAGCGGGGGAGGTGGGCTTACTCTTCTTTCATGCTTCATAAGTTTCATAGCTGTCTAACATAACAGGTAATTAACTACTAAACAGCCGTTTTCTTCTCCTCTCCAGAGGGAAACTGTTCACCAGCCATCTAGAAAACATTTCTCTTGCCATTTTCATAAGAGGAAAAAAAAAAAAGTTTAGTGGCTCTTGGCAACCACTAGTCTCAGAGCCAAGTGGGCATTTTCACCAACTCCACAAGCCTCCATTTAATCCTTGTACTGAAATGATCAGAAAGTCCTACACGATGTCACTCTTCCCAACAAATCCCCAGATGACCCACATGTAAATCTTACACCTGTCTCCAAGGACTAACAGCTAAAGGAAACAGTTAAGAAGAAACTCATTGACAAAGAACCTATGTTTGCTAGAGGTTTTCTTGGTTTGAACTTTGGGGAACTAGATAGGACATGAAATCAGGCTCTGAAATCTAGTTAGCTGAAAACCAACTCCAAGAAGACTGAGGTGATAATACTCAGAAAGAGAGAAGGAAATGAGTCTGATAAAAAGACCACAAGCACAACAGATCCAAAGAAGCATATCCTGAAAGCAACTGTGTTC